TCTCCTTTCCCTGCGTCTCCTGCCCCTTCCTGTTCCCACCCTCAGGATGTTCAACCACGACTCGGCCAAATGGCCGCTAGCCATTGCTCATAGTTTGATAACAGAGGGGTTTTAAACATTCTTTTGCTTTTTTAAAGAAAACAGTTATAATTGTACATAAAGGCCTAATATCTTTGACTTCATGGTCTCCTTTGCACCTCTTACAGTCGCCGATATTGGGCATAAGAGTAAGCTCTGTGCTACACGGCGGCCAGCATCTTATTTCTTGGTCGCGGAAGGAGCTCTCCCTGCACTAGTCTGGGACATGTGACAGGTGACACCACCAGCCCTCGCGTGAAGCCCCCGGGCTCCAGGGTCCACCTGCTCTGCGCCTTGCCTATCACTCCTGGTCAATGCCTACCGATTCTGTTTTGCTTTACTTTTTGCTAATAACAGAAAGGAAGTCAATAATCAATAAGTCTCCATAGAAATCATTAAAAACAAATAATGATAAAAAATACTTCAAGTTGTTCTAAACCTTAATCCACTGTACAGATTGTCCGATTCTCATTCCTAAATATAGCGCCTGCCGTTTATTGAGTGCTTACTGTGTGTTTGGCACATTATTTGCTCAGGGTCACCTGCTCAGTAAGAAGCACAGCCAGAATTTAAGCCAACTGAGCCTGATGCTAAATCCCGGGTTCTGGGCTCTGCTCTAAAACGTTTCGGAAAAGCAGATGCCCATCCACTGTTGAAGACTGAGTTCAAGCTGTTTCTAATTTTTAAAAATTAGAAACAGTTTTGATGCTTGAAAGTATGGGATTGGTTGAATACGTGATGATGTATCTACTTATTGAAAAATATATCCATCTATATAATAATACAAATAAAACTCATTGACATGGAAATATGAGATATTGCTGAGCCAAAAGAGTTCATAAATCAGCACATCTCATAAAATCCCATTTTGCGGACATCCCTGATCCCTTCTCGAAAAAAAACCTGAAAGGAAATAGATATTGAAAGATGTGATTACTCTGTTATAGGCTGAAGGTCTGTGTCCCCGCCCAGTTCATATATTGAAGCCCTACACCCCAGAGTGATGGGATGGTGATATTCAGATGGGACCAGTGTGTGTGTGGGGGGGTAACCAGGGTTAGATGAGACCCTGGTAGTGGAGCCCTGGTCTGATGTGATTAGTGCCCTTATAAGAAGGGACTCTGGAGAGCTTTCTCTCTCTCTCCCCACGTACACAGAGAGGTCGTGTGAGCACACAGGATGATGGCAAGGTGTTTGAACGTCTCACTCCCTTATGTGAGTGTTGATCCTTCTTTATATCGCCAGCCACTATAGTGGGGCTTGGCCCCCCCATATGGGCCCAGTGACCACTCTTCCAATGAAGAAAAAGGAATAAAAAGTATTCAGACATACTATTCCTGAGCTACGGCTGCCTCTTCTAGTGTGAACAAGTTCTGACCCTGATAAAGGGAGGAATGGGGAAGAATGTTGGAATGTCTTTTCCTCCAAGAAAAGAAGTGATCCCAGCAATCAGTCATGGACACAGCCCCATGTTCCCTGCGAGCCAGAGTACCAGGAGAGAAGAGGCTATCTAAAGTAAATGCATGAGATTTCCAACAAATCTGCATACTTGACCTTAGTCATGACCTCATTCTACTAATTGTACTTTGTCTAGCTGCAACTGGTAAATCTGCCCAATTTGGCTTTCACCCAAGACCTCCCTTTGTCACCGAAGACCCAAGGCTGGTCTCAGCTTTACTTCATTTGAGTACAATAGTTGTAGCAGGTGTCTTTTTATTAATTCCTTTCTACCCAATGACGGGAAATAATATAACTAGTCAACATTAACACTCTGTCTAGCTGCTCTACTACGCTGTGTAGAGCAATTTGCTCTCACCCAAAATGACATTAGAAAGATTGTCGCCTTCTTTACTTCAAGCTGGTTAGGCCTAGTAATGGTTACTACTGATATTAACCACCATACCCAACATTCCTTCACTTCTGCACACAGACATGTTTTGAATCCATATTATTTATATGCTGTGGGTTTGTTACTGATCACTTAAATGATGAATAAGCCATCCAAAAAACAGGGGGCTTAAAGCTTTCCCCTTTCCTACAACCTCATTATTGGAAGAAGACTAGCATTACAGGGAGGACATTCCTTACAGACTTTTACTCCACAGGCTTAATTATCAAAACTGCTAACACATCTGTGGTATTGTGATTTATAATAGGAAATATATATTTGGTCCTCCTCCTGGTTTCTGGCACAGAGCCTGCTAAATCCTTTGGAATTTCCTATGATGAGAGGGACAAAGGTGTCCTTTGTTATGTTAACAAGGTGACTTTTGGAAAGTACCTGCTGTGGGGGGAGGAGGATGCTGGTTACCCGAGGGCAAAACCAGGTAATTAGAGAGTTGGAACTTTCAGTCTCAACACCCACCTTACCCCCTTTAGGGAAGGGCCAGGGGATGGAGGTTGGATCAGTCGCCAATGGCCAACGATTTAATCCGTCATGCCTCTGTGATGAAGCCTCCATAAAAACCCCAAAGGAGGGGGCTTTGGGGATTTTTTGGGTTGGTGAACACATGCAGATATGCAGATGTGGGGGACTTGCACCTGGGGGGGGCGGTATGGAAGCTTCGCTCCCTTTCCCCATCCACTTTTCCGGGCATCTCTGTATATGGTGGTTCCTGAGTTACATCCTTTTCTACTAAGCTGCTAATCTAGTGAGTAAACTGGTTTCCTGAGTTCTGTAAACTGCTCCAGTAAACCAGTCAAACTTAAGGAGGGGTTCATGGGAACGTGATTTACAGCCAGTCGGTCAGAATTGGCCTCTAAAGTGGAGGGCAGTCTTGTAGGACAGAGCCCTTAACCTGTGGGGTCGGCTGACATTATGTGCTGGTGGGTGGATGGCATCAGAAATGAGTGGAGTCGTAGGGCATGCAGCTGGAGTCTGAGAATTGCTTGGTGGTGGGAGAACCCCCCACATCAGAACCAGTGAGCAGAACTGTCCTGTCCAGTGTGAGCGCTCAGCCCTGCGAAGTTTGCTGCTTCCCAGCGGCTGTCTAATCCCACAGTTACTTTCTTCCTCCTGCTCAGACAACCTTGCTGGTTGATGCGAATTCTAATCGGTGAAAATAATGCTCCCATGATCCACACTAGGAAGTGAGTTTTAATTGGAAGAATTTTTGCTGGATTTTTATTTCCCACAACATGACCCCAACAACTGTTCCTCCCGTAAGGATGCCTGCTACCTAGGGTCTAACGGGCTCCACTCTCATTCCAGCACTTGACCGTAACCTTAGAGCACAAAACATAAAATATAACTCTCCTTCACCCTTCTATGAATATTCCAAACTCCTTGGGTTCTTCCCAGCGATTACTCACCACCTCTCACCATTCAACAATCTTTCAGCCAACAAAACACTAACATTATTTTTAGTAGACGTACTTCAACTACAAGACATTATCACCAAAAACCATTTCCTGTCTTCTGAAAACTTCCACATTAATTTCAAACCTGAAAGGCTTAATCAAATTATATTTCCTCTCTTTCCTTGTTATACTAATCCTAAATTTACTTCTATTTAATTTCCCTGAGTGATGTCCACAATAAAAATACTAACAAAGATAAGTTCTCCCACTGATCAACTCACACAGCTGCAAACACAGCACCATCCCTAAAGACTCCAGCTTCTCCAGCATCATGAATTACTCAATCTCCTATGCCATTCATTTTTAAATTTATTTTATTTTATTTTTAATTTTTTTAGAGAGAGAGAGAGAGAGAGAGAGCATGAGTGGGGGAAGGGGCAGAGGGAGAGGGAGAGAATCTCAAGCAGACTTCCCACGACCCTGAGATCACTACCTGAGTGGAAACCAAGAGTCAGAGGCTTAACCAACTGCCCACCCAGGCGCCCCTCCTATGCCATTAAATTTAAATTTAAATACCAGCTCCACCTCACCGTCCTTTACAACTCACAGAACTCTGAAAACTTCTATTAATCAGTCCAAAAGAAACATTCCTAAAACAACAGTATTAGATACTCAAACCTCAGGGTGTTCTTCAGGAGCTACAGCTATAGAAGAGCCAATACGCGTCAATATTCTTCCCTTCCCTGGCTGACAGTTGGAAAGTCAAGGGGCCTTGAGAAAGAGGGGTTTCAGCAGAGCGATGACTTTGGAATTAGCTATCCATCCACCCACCCCTCTGATCATCCATCCATCCATCCATCTGTCCATCCATCCATCCCTCTGATCGTCCATCCATCCATCCATCCATCCATCCATCCATCCATCCATCCATCC